TAGGGTTTAGGGTTTAGGGTTTAGGATTAGGGTTCGGGTTTAGGGTTTTTAGGGTTTAGGGTTTAGGGTTTAGGGTTTAGGGTTTAGGGTTTAGGGTTTTAGGGTTTAGGGTGTAGGGTTTAGGGTGTAGGGGTTTAGGGTTTAGGTTTAGGGTTTAGGGGTTTAGGGTTTAGGGGTTTAGGGTTTTAGGGGTTTAGGTTTTAGGAGGGTTTAGGGTTTAGGGTTTAGGGTGTTTAGGTTTAGGGTTTCGGGTTTAGGGTTGAGGGTTTAGGGTTTAGGGGTTAGGGTTTAGGGTTTCGTCTTTAATTGTAAGGCCCCTCTCATGAAAACCCCAACATCAGAAAACTCATGGAAAATTATGCCGGCGTAGACCCCAGGGCCAGAAAAAGGCCAAAGAAGGCCAGAAGAGCACCGACACTCCCGGGGACAAAAAGTACAGAAGTTCGTGGGGGGCCGAATTCTATTGGGGCCGGATTTCGCGCGAAACCACAGCGGGAGCATCGAAATGCAACGGAATTCGCGCGAAACCACAGCGGGAGCATCGAAACGCAACGGAATTCGCGCGAAACCACAGCGGGAGCATCCAAACCAAGGACCCGTCCCACCGCGCGCGCCGTTGCGGTCGGCAACCTAAGTGGCCCCCCCTGAAGAGGCCTGAAGAGGCCACGAGAGGCCGGAATTCGCGCGAAACCACAGCGGGAGCATCGAAACGCAACGGAATTCGCGCGAGACCACAGCGGGATGGGGGGCCGAATTCTATTGGGGCCGGATTTCGCGCGAAACCACAGCGGGAGCATCGAAATGCAACGGAATTCGCGCGAAACCACAGCGGGAGCATCGAAACGCAACGGAATTCGCGCGAAACCACACGGGAGCATCCAAACCAAGGACCCGTCCCACCGCGCGCGCCGTTGCGGTCGGCAACCTAAGTGGCCCCCCCTGAAGAGGCCTGAAGAGGCCACGAGAGGCCGGAATTCGCGCGAAGCCACAGCGGGAGCATCGAAACGCAACGGAATTCGCGCGAGACCACAGCGGGAACCCGTCCCACCGCCGCGCGCGCCGTTGCGGTCAGCAACCAATTCCTTTACCCTGAACGTAAGAACCCCATTGTGCAAGCACTGTTTGGGGAAAAAGGATATGTCCCGCAAAAAGCCAACCGAGCTACCGGCCATGCCTGCGATGCACACGGAGGCCGAGATCACTTGCAGGGCGTCCATGTCAACCTGGGGGTCTCCGAACTTCGGGTTTAGGGTTTTGGGTTTAGGTGTTTAGGGTTTAGGGTTTGGGGTTTAGGGTTTAGGGTTTATAGGGTTTAGGGTTGGTACCTTATTGGGGTCCTTATTCTTAAGGGATCCTACTAGCTATAGGGGGTCAGAAAAGGGCTTCCCCTATATTCGTAAACCGCCCACCTGCAGGAAGACCTGGCGCGTGGAATCCAATGAGATTGAAGACTCGGACCGCTCGGACCTCTCGAGCTTCTCGGACCTCGCGGACTTCTCGGACCTCTCGGACTTCTCGGACTTCGCTGGCCTCTCGGACATGTCGGACTTCTCCGACTTCGCGGACTTCGCTGGCTTCTCGGACTTCGCTGGCTTCTCGTCCTTCGCTGCGCACTCATGCGGCTCTTTCTAGATACAGCCAAAGCAAAAGTTGAAGAAAAGCAAAAAAGACAAATGCTTCCAAGAAAAGGGCTGGGCGCCTCTTTCTGCCCATGCTGCCTGCCATAGGGGTAGCAGGTGCCCCGGATACCGGCGCTGTCCAGGGCATTTTGCCCTGCCAGAGAAGATTGGTCAGTGAAGTCCCGCAGGCCCAGCAGGTGACAGTCCTGGCCATTCAGGCGACGATACTTCACGTGGAACACCTCGGTGCGGAACTTGCTGGAGCAGCTGTCGACGAGGCGCGTGTGGAAGATGTTCGTTGAGATGTCCGCGCCTCTCTCGGATCGGAGGATCTCCTCCGCCCTCAGGGCTTCTTCTCTGGTGGGCATCAGCTCAGAGAAGCACCTGCCTTGGAGCGTGGACCCTGAAGACCACGAGGATCTCAGCAGCATTGCCTCCAGTTGTTGGAGTTCGCTTCCGGCGGTGGTGAGGCGCAAGTCCGCGTCCAGCTCCACCACGGCATCACAGGTGAGCTGCAAGAGGGAGGACGCCGCAGTGAGCTCCGTGGCGGCTTTGTTGATCAGGATGCCTTGGCGTGCCTTGGCCTGTAAGGCTCTCTGCATCGCCACCGAGGCGGACAGGACCAGCACAAGGAAGAGGAGCTCCCAGGTGGCGGCATTCAGTCGGCTAAACTGCGTCTCGCAGCTGGTGATGGGCCAGTGGCCCCTCAGGATCCGCAGCTCCATGAGCAAGAAGGTTCCAATGTTGCACAGGGCCACCAAAATCGGGCGCGTGCACACGAGGACGGAGGGCAAGCGAACGCCGATGGATACCAGCCAGGACACCTGGACACTTTGAGACAAGGTGGTGAACAAGGGCGACAGCATCAGGGTGCAGAGCGTCATGCCCATCACGTACCACAGGTCCAGTGTACATGGGCGGACAACAGATGGAAAGAGAAAGCCGGCGCCAAAGAACGCGAAGCACCCGACGTGCAACCACGACAGCTGCGCCGACATCCAGCGGCTCTGTGCCCCTGGAACTAAGATGTTGATCTGGACCAGCATGCAAATGAACAGCCAAAGGACCAAGAGCACGCTGTTCACCACACCGGCCAGAGCCAAGCGGCTTTGCCGCACCCTCGCCCGCACCAGCCACGCCTCCTCGTCCTCGGGTCTGCGTGCTGGTAGCCAGGAGCAACACTTCCTGGCAAGGTCCTGGGTTGGCCACAGTTGAAAAAGCATTCAAAACATGAAACCTCTAAAAACCCCCTCCCCAACACCACACGCACAGATGGCACCCCTTTATTTGGGAGTTGTTTGCCTGGAACGAGTACCCCGGGACCGCCCCAAGGCGACAGGTGTCCCAGAACAAGCACCTCAGCGCAGGCCCTGGCCGAGGCCAGTCGTAGATTTAAGCAAATGTTCCTCCCCCAAACCACACGGCCGAGGCTCCTTCACTTTGCTCCAATGCGCAACTGTCAGCCAGAGGACCTTCGCGACGCAGATGCTCTGCAGCGCCGTAAAGACGCAGAGCCAAGAGGTCTCGTGCAATGCCTCCGGATCAAACGAGATCTCCATGGCATAAGCGCGGGGGGAGGGGCACTGAAATGTCTCGCTAGGATAGCCATGGGGGCTTGAGGGTGTAGGATTTAAGTTGTGGGTTTAGCCCCCATCAAGAACCCCTCCTAAGCCGAAGCCTAAAGTTAATTAGTTGCCCGTCGTTGGTGCGCAGGCTGGGGGCGTGGTGGGGAGGGCCTGTGCCTTCACTGAGCCAAATTGAATCCAAGGCGTTCGGCAAAAAGCAGAAGCTCTAGATGTCCCTGACGGCCTCCCAACATGGGGTAGTTCATGCACTTGACAGGAAACCCCAAACTCAAATAGGCCATCATTACCAATGTACTTCTCTTCTGCAGTTCTCGATTTAGCCCTAATCCAGGAAGCCTCAAGCCTACCCCAAGTATCCCTCATTGCTACCAACCTTTTCCCCTAACCTCTACCATGGCATGATAAACTACAACGCCAAAACCCTGAACCCCCAAAGCCCTCAACAACTGAACCCTAAACCCTAAACCCTAAATCCTAAACCCTAAACCCTAAACCCTAAACCCTAAACCCCAAACCCTAAACCCTAAACCCTAACCCAAAAAGCCCTAAAACCCTAGAGCACGAAGTTAGCAGCTTAGCCGGCTTCCCTGCGGCCTGCTCATCCTGTACCCGCCTTGGTCACGCGAGTGCAAGGGCTTGAGGGTTGAAGGTTGAGGGTTTAGGGTTTAGGGTTTAGGGTTTGGGGTTTAGGGTTTGGGGTTTAGGGTTTAGGGTTTAGGGTTTGGGGTTTGGGGTTTGGGGTTTGGGGTTTGGGGTTTAGGGTTTCGCGTCGAGGGGCTAGTAGTGGCCTCGGGTCTAGAGCATAAGTCAAGGAGCCTGTGCCGAAACTTTACCAGGCACAGGTAGCCCGAAGGACCCAAACCCTACAATCAAACCCCAAACCCGAAACTCGCAAAAGCTCAGTTGAGATAGCCAAAACCAACACGAAAGGTCTCGAAAGCCTAAATCCTAAACCCTAAATCCTAAACCCTATTCCTAAACCCTGAACCCCAAACCCCAAACCCTAAACCCTAAATCCCAAAAGGGGCCCTGGAGTGCATCTTTCCACCCAGCTGCTGAAGCCCACGGCGCCGCCTGGAGCGAACACACCGGTGGGACACTTAGGGTTTAGGGTTCAGGGTTTAGGGCTTAGGGTTTCGGGTTTCGGGTTTCGGGTTTTGGGTTTGGGGTTTGGGGTTAGAGGTTTGGGGTTTAGGGTTTAGGGCTAGGGTTTCGGGTTTAGAGTGCGGGTTTGATTTGGTTGAACTCCTAAGCCCCAAAAGCCTGCCAAAATTCTCAACCATAAACCCGAAAACCTAAACCCGAAACCCTAAGCCATAAACCCCAACCCTCAACCCCCCCCCACCTAGCTCCGGATTCTCCTGTGCCAGCCGATAGCTCTCGGCCATGGCATTGACAGAGGGCCAGACCTCTCAAATTTACAGGGTTTAGGGCTTAGGGCTTAGGGTTTAGGGTTTAGGGCTTAGGGTTTAGGGTTCAGGGTTTGGATGAGTTCAGGGTTTAGGGTTTAGGGTTTAGGGTTCAGGGTTTAGGGTTTAGGGTTTAGGGTTTAGGGTTTAGGGTTTAGGGTTTAGGGTTTAGGGTTTAGGGTTTAGGGTTTAGGGTTTAGGGTTTAGGGTTTAGGGTTTAGGGTCCCCTAATATAGTCCCCCACATAGTAGGATTCCTTGATAATCAGGCCCCCCGATGAGGTACCCCTAGTTTCGGAAACCCCCGTGTTGGTCTCAGACAATGGTTTCGGGCTTTGGGTTTGGGCGGGAAACAGGAATTCAGCTGGGTATCAAGCATTTCGAAGTTCAGGCCAGGGTGTGTTTCGGAGGCTCTCGGCCGCTCTCCCCTTCCTCTACCAGCTGCATCTTTATCTGGGCGTCTTGGTGTCGGTTGAGGAGTGAGCTGAGGTCCACAGGCAGTTTAGGGATTTGGGGGGCTTCGGGTGAACTGCAACACCAAAGAGCGATCGGATGGTCGACGAACTCAGAGATGAGCTCGCCTGCCCGAAGAGGTGGGCCGGAACTGCAGGGGGTTGAGGGCCCTTAGGGGGCCTCGAGGGCTTTAGGGTTGGGGCTTGCAGGGTTTAGGGGCTTGGGCCCTAAACCCTAAACCCTAAACTTCAGGGTGTTTAGGGTTTTTAGTTTAGAAAGTTTAGGACCTTTGGGGCTTCAGGGTTCAGGGTTAAGGCTTGGGCTTTAGGGTTTGTCCAGGTGGCCCACAACAGAAACCCCAGCCACACTAAGAACTGGGATCTCTCTAGGCCACCCCCCCAACACCCCAACACCCTAGAATCAACACCCCAAATCCTAAACCCTAAACCCTAAACCCTAAACCCTAAACCCTAAACCCTAAACCCTAAACCCTAAACCCCTAAACCCTAAACCACCCCAAACCCCTAGACCATAAGCCCAGAACCCTAAAACCCCAGACCTTGGAACCCCAGGCCCCGAGCCCCCCCCCCCTTGAATGATCTGCCACTCAAGGCGTGGACCTCTGGAGCTCCCTCCCAGAAACCTTTAGGGATGTTTAGGGTTTAGGGTTTAGGGTTTGGGGTTTAGGGCTTAGGGTTTAGGGTTTCCCTGAACCCATGAGAAGCTCAAGCCCTCACCCCCAGAAACCCCACGCCCTAGCCCCTGTAAACGCTAGAGAACCCTAACCCCATAAACCCAAAAAACACCCCAAGCCCAGAACCCTAAAGAACCCGAAACCCTAAACCCTTCTCTTGCAGCCTTGGAGGATGACTTTGAGGTTGCGGCCCCGGAGGGACTCGATGAAGTCCTCCCGTTGGGAGGCTTTGGGGTTTAGGGCTTAGGGTTTAGGGTTTAGGGTTTAGGGTTTAGTGTTTAAGGTTCGTAAGGGTTTAGCGTCAGGGGGTTTAGGGTTGTAACTCGTATCTCCACTTTTTAGACGCGTGGGCCAGCGAGCACCTTCCAAGGGTGCTTCTGGGGTCTAGGTTTAGGGTTGAGGGTTTAGGGTTTAGGATTTAGGGTTTAGGATTGAGGGTTTAGGGTTCAGGGTTCAGGGTTTAGGCACCATCGGGCTCGTTTGCCCGCAGGTTTTGTTGGTGAAGGCCCGAAAGCATGGTTTTACCGATACGAGCTGCTTGTGCGCAATCGGGACGCGTGCACCGTAAATCTTGAATTTAGTGTCAAAAAAACCTAAAACACTCGATGTTTCTGCGCGGCCAGAATTGTGTTTTCAGGCTTCGCATGTTAAAGTGAACAAAAAGTTCTCCCCAAGGGGGCAGACCACACACAACATGTAGACAGGAAGTATGTAGAAAGTGATGCTCAAACTTACATGTTGGGTATGTGCAAGCTGACAGTGAAATGTCGAGGCCTAAACCCTGAACCCTGAACAGCAGCAGCAGTCATCATCAAGTGGACCTGGGCACAAGAAGTCCGGCAAACGAGCCCGATGGAGCCAGGTTGTAGGGTTTAGACTGGGTTTAGGGCGTAGGGTTTAGGGCCAGGGCTTATGGTTTTGGGTTTAAGGTTTGGATTAGGGCATCCCCACCCAGGCCCCTGCCGCCCTGCTCACCACACCTAGATCCCATCCAAAAGCCAATCTCTCCCAAGTTAAAGACCCCCCCATTCCTCTGCCGTCACGATTTCCGGCTGCTTGACCGGACTGTCCCCTTAGTGACCACCAGCTTGGAGTAGGGTGTTTAGGGTTTAGGGTTTGGGTTTAAGAGGTTAAGGTTTAAGGCTTCGGGGTGGATTGTAAAGTCCTCGTCGGATTGCCCCCCAAACCCTCAAAACCACGTAAGAAACCCCGAACAAACCGAAACCAACAAAAAACACTCCCACCCTAACCCCTAAAGTCCCCAAAGCCAAAAACCCAAAACCCCAAAACCCCTCTGCTAAACCCTCCGACGATCCCTGAACCCCTAGCAACCCCAAAAAAACCCAACAAAATCCCTTCCTCAAGCCTAGGAGCCCCCCCCCCCCCCTAAAAGGGAGCCAAGTGGCTTGGCCAACTCAGGGCCGCCAGGGGCGTCTCGGCCTTCAGCGAGGCCGGCGCGGCCGTGGCACTGGCCGAGAGGGAGGAGCCTCAGGGAGGCGAAGGGGAGGATTTGGGGGGGGAGCGTTTAGGGCGTTTAGGGTTTAATGCAAATGGGTTTAGGGTTTGGGGTTTAGGGTTTAGGGATAGTGGGTTGGGGCTTTAGGGGTTTAGCAGAGGATGAGGACGATGACGACGGCGATGGCGACGACGACGACGACGACGACGACGACGACGACGACGCCGCCGGCGGCGGCGGCGGCGCGGCGACGACGACAACCACGACGACGACGACGACGACGACGACGACGACGACGACGACGACGACGACGACGACGACGACGACGACGACGACGACGACGAGGACGACGACGAGGACGACGACGAGGACGACGACGAGGACGATGACCGGGACGACGACGAGGACGACGACGAGGACGACGACGAGGACGACGACGAGGACGACGACGAGGACGAGGACGAGGACAAGTCTGATGATTTGGGTGGCTACAGACTGCAAATCCTGCAAAGGGAGCGCGCATACCAAAAACACCAATCCCAAAAGGAACACACCAAGCGGGAGAAAATGCACACATAGCACACAAAGTGAGAGCGAGTGCCCAGGCGCCTCGAAAAACGCACGCGCCACACACTGGAAGACCATACACAAAGTGCCTTACAAAGCATAGTGGAAGTAGAATGATAGGAGTGCCACAAGCCAAATCCAGAATGCAAGAGCGCACCACGCACTGATAGTTACCTGGTGGTATGACAATGCAGGAAAGCAGGTGCACCGTGTGAAGGCGACACACGACACCCCTCAAAATGAAAGCCAAGGAGAACAGGTAAGTGAACACAAACTCTCTCTCTCACACACACACACATGCTCACTGAATGAAAGGAGTGCCTCACTCTCTGCCCCCCCCCCCCTCCCCCAAAGAATAGAACCAAGATTTTAACCTTAGAGCTCCCAACCCCCGTAACATCCAAGACCGCTAAATCATGATCCTTGTGACACCTTCAACTACAAGGAATACAAACCCGACCCCCTAAGCCTTCAACATCCCAGGAAGGGGAAGATACATACTCTAGGGGAACCCTAAACCCTAAACCCTAAACCCTAAACCCTAAACCCTAAACGCCAAACCCCAAACCCCAAAACCCAAACCTCTCAGGAAGGAAGCTACATCCGCAGGTGGTGCCGCATCCGGAGCTGTCGGGCCAGGCGCGTTGGGCCAGGTCCTACGGATCGCGTGCTCGGGGGCTGCTGGATTTGGGGGGCCTTTTGGGTGTCAAGGTCTTGGGGCTTTAGGGTTGTTTGGTTAAGGTGTAGGGTTTAGGGTTTAGGGTTTAGGGCTTTGGGTTTAGGGATTAGGGCTTAGCGTTTCGGGTTAGGGTTGTTAAGTTTAGGGAAATTACGGGGTTTCAGGCCTTAAGGCTTAGGGGCATCTCGCCGCGCAGCGGCAGCAAGTTCTACGCCGCCCCTGCACTGGGCTCCACCCTTCTGCCCTCTTGCCCAGGGAAGTCTCCCTACACAAAGAACCCCTGGTACCTCGTAGGGAATGAGGGAATGAGGGAATGAGGGAATGAGGGAATGAGGGAATGAGGGAATGAGGGAATGAGGGAATGAGGGAATGAGTGAGGGAATGAGGGAATGAGGGAATGAGGGAATGAGGGAATGAGGGAATGAGGGAATGAGGGAATGAGGGAATGAGGGAATGAGGGAGTGAGGGAATGAGGGAGTGAGGGAATGAGGGAATGAGGGAATGAGGGAATGAGGGAATGAGAATGAGGGAATGAGGGAATGAGGGAATGAAGGAATGAGGGAATGAGGGAATGAGGGAATGAATGAGGGAATGAATGAGGGAATGAATGAGGGAATGAGGGAATGAGGGAATGAGGGAATGAGGGAATGAGGGAATGAGGGAATGAGGGAATGAGGGAATGAGGGAATGAGGGAATGAGGGAATGAGGGAATGAGGGAATGAGGGAATGAGGGCCCTTTTGAGGAATATATAAGGCCCTTTTTCCCTCATTCCCTACTAGAACCAGCCAGAAGAACCATCCATGCGACGGGCTGAACATGAGCGACGGTTTCGGTGGTAGATGGATCGTCAGGCAAGGCAGGCTGAAACGATTCGACGTCGGGGCTTCCGGTTTGGGATATTGAGGTGTACGGCCTGGGAGGGGGGAAGTTGGAGTGTAGATGTTTGGGGCTTTGCGAAATTCCAGCACATAAGGTTTGAGGGCAGCTTTGGGGCCTTGGGAGCTTGTAGGGCTGAGGCCTTTCTGGGGTTTTACGTTCCTTGCGGGAGATTGGCAACCCAACGACCTCTTGAGTAAGGGCCCCAAAATACCCGACACCCTAAACCCTAAACCCCCTTCACAGTCAAATATCATGGGACTCTACCTGGGACCCCTAGATTTGTACCCTTGGGTTTGGGACTCCCTTTAAAGGTCCTCTAAGGGAACATGAGGAGCATCTGAGACTCTTAAGGGTACATCCTTAGGGGTGCGAGTCTTCATCCCTTGAAAATATTTCGGGCCCACGGTCAAGCCACGCTGAAAAACCCTAAACCCTAAACCCTAAACCCTAAACCCGAAACCCTAAACCCTAAACCCTGGCCCACAGCCTCGACGTCCGGTGTGCTGTCCATGCCCTGACCAGTTTCTCTCTCTCCTCCTCCCCTAGCTGCTTAAGGTGCCAGGTTTAGGGCATGGGCGGTTAGGGCGGTTAGGGTTTTTAACAGATGCCCTAGACCCTAAACCCTCAGACCCTAAGACTCTGAGAGTAACCCGAACCCGTAATCTACCAAGCATAGCTTTGTGGCGACTGGCAAGCAGGATTGTTGCGAAAGGCATGTCAAGTCTTCAACCCTTTAGACCAGTTCACGGAAACGGCCCCTCAACCCCCTCAAATCCCGCAACCCTAAACCCTAAACCCGAAACCCTAACCTCGAAACCCTAAACCCGAAACCCTTAATCCTAAACCCGAAACCCGAAACCCTAAACCCGAAACCCTAAACCCGAAACCCTTAATCTTCAACTTTCTCTCCGGTCGCGGGTCCGCCCGATGCCTTGACATGGTTCACCAGGGCCTTGACGCGCGCCGCCTTCTCCATGGCCCCTGCTTCGAACGGGGTGACAAGGCTTGGGGGTTTGGGTTTGGGGTGTTTGGGGTGTTTAGGGTGTTTAGGGTGTTTAGGGTTTAGGGCTTAGGGTTTGGGGGTTTAGGGTTTGGGGGTTTAGGGTTTGGGGTTTGGGGTTTGGGTTCGGGGTTTTTGGGTGTTCAGGGTGTATTTAGGGTTTAGGAGTTGGGGTTCAGGGTTTAGGGCTAGGGCTCCAGAAGCCCAAAAACTGGAGAAAACAAACCCTAAACCCTAAACCCTAAACCCTAAACCCTAAACCCTAAACCCTCAGGTTGAGGGCTTCAGGTCTTAAACCCCACAGCCCTGCCCCAGCGGTGGATTGAGGGCTTTTTTCCCCTCGAAGCCCTGAGCACGTAAGTCAAACCCCGAAGGCCCAGCCCCCTAAACCCTAAACCCTAAACCCTAAACCCTAAACGCTTAACCCTAAACCCCAAACCCTAAACCGCAAGAAAGGTGGTCCTCGCGCCTGGATGTTGGAGCCCCGCTGTGCGCTTTGAAACGTTGGGCGCTTGGGCCGGAGAGCGGGCACAAGGAGGATTAGGGTGTGGGGTTTCGGGTTTAGGGTTTGGGGTTTAGGGTTGAGGGTTTGGGGTTTAGGGTTTAGGGTTTAGGGTTTAGGGTTTATAGCTCAAGAGCCTTGAGGGCTTGGGCTTTTTCAGTTCTCGGGTTTTGGGCTTAGGCCTTATCAAGCTCAAGAGCCTGGGGGTGTAAACCAGGGTTTAGGCTTCAGAGCTGAGGGCTTGGGAGATTAGGGCTTTCAGGCATCAGCCTTGAGATGCCCAGGTGTGGAGAAAGCCCCAAACCTTCGAAGGCCCAAGGCCCCCGAAACCCCATTTAGGGCTTAGGGTTTAGGGTTTAGGGTTTAGGGTTTAGGGTTTAGGGTTTAGGGTTTAGGGTTTAGGGTTTAGGGTTTAGGGTTTAGGGAAAAACCGCCCCCAACTCCGAAACCCGAATTCAGGCACAACAGAGTCCTCAGCCGCAAAAAGCCCTTGAACCCTGAAACCCTAGGCCTTTTTGGAGGGGGCAGGTGCCCCCCTTTGAAGTCTCTAAGCCCTGTTGCCCCGAACTCCTTCTCCAGAGACCTCCAGCGAAGTAGCAGGGTTGCCTCAGCAACGAAAGACTTGACTTGGGGGTGAAACCCAGAAGCTCTCAGTGTAGTGAGGGTACCCAGAAAGGAACCTAAATGAAGCACGGTTCCCGCATGTAGAAGCTGTCTAAGCACGCTACCGAAAAAACCCTACTCAACACCCTACGAGGCCCATACTTCAACCCTACCAAACACCCTGCTAAGCCCTATTCGGCAAAGTGCCGGTTGCAGGCTCAAGCGCCTAAGGGCCCTGCGTTGAAAAGAGAAACTCGCACTGAGCTTGAAAGCCAGACTCTCCCAAGCATCAAACTCGAAGCCTCCAAAGTATTGGGGGGTGTGGGGTTTGGGGTTTGCAGGTTCCCTAAACCCCAAACCCTAACCCTAAACCCTTATGCCTAAACCCTAAACCCTCCTCCCGATTTGTGGCTCTACACCACAAAAGCACCCAGAGCGCACTGGGCGACCCTACCAGCGCTCGTTCTGTATAGGCTTTGAGAACCAGCGGGTCTGCAGGCAGCCTGCCGGCGCTGGTTTTGGGGGTTTAGGGTTTAGGGTTTCGGGTTTAGGGTTCAGTTCAGGGATAATCCAGGATCCTGTCGAATACCTAAACGCTTGAACGAGCATTGAAGTCCTCCGAAACAAGCGGGCTATGGCCCAAAGAAACCCTTGCCCCAAGCAAAACAGGAAATCAAAACAATATACTCTGCTTGGTTCGATGCCCTTGAACTCCTACCCCGAACCCTAAACCCTAAGTCCCTAAACCCTAAACCTAAACCCTAAATCATGAGCTTCTCCGCTCCTCAGGCACAGCTTCTTCAGCTCGTCAAAGCCAGAGACGTTCCTCGTGGAGGGGGGGGGGATCTTGAATCACGTTTTCTTCTTTTTTCGGGGGACACAATTTATATGCAAATGAAATGAAGAATATCCCTTAAATATGAAAATGAAGGGGGGGGGGTTACATAAGGTGTTAGGAGTTTAGGGTCTCACTGGTAGGGTGAATTTTAAGGTTTTAAGGGCTTAGGTCGTAGCAGGTTTAGGGTTTCAAGAAGATCCTGAAACCCACCCTACCAAAGATTGCCCAGAACACATTTTGACTCCACCCAAAGCTGCCCCCCAATTTTGTTATCTTTTCTATAACTTGAAATATGAAAACTGGGGCGATGTGGATTAGCCTCCCACTCGCGCCCCGTTATCTTGGGGCTTCGGTCTGCAAAGCTTGGGTTTAGGGTTTGGGGTTTTGGGTTTGGGGTTTGGGGCTTAGGGTTTTGGGTTTAGGGTTTAGGGTTTAGGGTTCAGAGTTTAGGGTTTAGGGTTTAGTTCGGAATCTACTGGTTCGAGAGGAACTCTAGGACTTGGGATGAAAACTCCTCTTCCGGAGCTCGAGCACCAAAGTCTGTCTCAAACCCTAAAACCTAGACCCTAGACCCTAACCCCTAAACCCAAGCCCCAAACCTAAGGAGAAGGAGGTGGGTGGGCGGGCAAAAAAACAGCCGAACAGCCGCCGGGCGCGGAAGCCCTAAACCCTAAACACCCCACCTAATGCTCTAAACCTCCTGAGCCTCCGATCGCCACCCTAAAACCCCCCCCCCCCCCCCCCCCCCCACTCCCCAACCGTTAGAATTCAACCCACAGCTTGGTCCTTCTTCAACCTTTGCTATTCTCCGAGCCGGGTTTAGGGCGGGTTGCGACCCTAAACCCTGAAAACTGAGCCCCGAAAATGGTTTAGGAACCTCAAGCCGACTCAAGCCCTTTAAGCCCTAAGACCCTAAAACCCTAAAGCCCTAAAACCCTAAAACCCTAAAACCCTAAAACCCTAAAACCCTAAACCCTAAAACCCTAAACCCTCATCCTTAAGCGACTCGAACTGAAGGCTTGAGCTCCAGTTTTGCGGAGGTTGCCGCCGAGCCGCTGGTGGGGGAAGGCCACGGCCCCTGAGGGGCCGCACATCACGGCGCCGCGGTCCAGCTCCGTGCTCATGCACTCCCTTCGTGGGGTTTTAGTTGGGGTTTTATGGGTTTTGGGGTGTTTTGGAGTTTTGGGGGTTTTGGGGGTTTTGGGGGCTGGGGTTTCAGGGGTATGGGGTTTGGGATTGAAGGTTTCAGGGTTCAGGCGGCAATTTTTCAGGCTGAAGGGTTGGGGTGTAAGGTTCAACTTGTTCAGCATGGGGGATTCCCCAGCGGCCCCACCCCAAGTGCGCAGCACATACCATTGAAAGGACACCGGTTACCAACAACTAGGGCTCGAGATTGCCGAGGGCATGTCGCACGCACTACCTCATCCCGAACAAGCCCCTAAACCCTAAACCCTAAACCCTAAACCCTGAACCCTGAACCCTAAACCCTAAACCCTAAACAATCCAAGGAAGCAACCCACCGAGCCCTCAAGTGGTGCTGCAGTTGAAGGGTTTAGGGATTCAGGGATCAGATTGGTTGAGGGTCTCATGTCAAGGGAAAGCAGAGGTCAGGGTTCATGACACGTACCCTGTAAGATGCCCCTAAACCCTAAACCCTAAGCCCTAAACCCTAAACCCTAAACCCTAAACCCTAAACCCTAAACCCTAAACCCTATCAGGGCTTTGGGGCCTAGGGTGTTTTGGGCTGCCGCGCCTGATGTGCATGTCCTTCTCGGCCGCCGGGATATGGAAGCGCTCTAAGAAGGAGTTGACCAGCCTCGATTGGATGCTGGGTTTAGGGTTTAGGGTTTAGGGTTTAGGGTTTAGGGTTTAGGGTTTAGGGTTTAGGGTTTAGGGTTTAGGGTTTAGGGTTTAGGGTTTAGGGTTTAGGGTTTAGGGTTTAGGGTTTAGGGTTTGTGGCTTTTGAGGTTTCTTGGAACCTAAACCCTAAACCCCCCAAGCCCTGAACCCTAGACCCCAAACTCCAAAGCCCAAGGGCTAAGTATCCAGGGCCCTTTGGAAACGAAACCCCAAACCCCAAACCCTAAACCCTATAAACTCTAAACCCCGCTAGGTTATCCCACACCCTGGAGAGCTGGCTTTGGGTTGTGGCTGGGGCTTTCGGTTTAGGGTTTAGGGTTTAGGGTTTAGGGTTTAGGGTTTAGGGTTTAGGGTTTAGGGTTTCGGGTTTCGGGTTTCGGGTTCAGGGTTTGGGGTTCAGGTGATGCACGGGCTTGGGGTTTGGGGTTTGGGGATGCACTGGGGCCGAGGGTGCACACGCAGCCGCGCTGCGTTGGCAGCGCTGCCGGTCTCGGCAGCGTCGCCGACATGAGGATGGTTTTGTACCTCTTGGCTTAGGGTTTAGGGTTGAGGGTTGAGGGTTGATTGAGGGTTGAGGGTTTAGGGTTTGGGGTTTGGGGTTTAGGGTTGAGGGCTTTGGGCTTGTTTCTTCCCTATTATTTTTTTTGGGGGGTGGGTTGGGGGGGGGGGGTGGGCTTACGATTGTCCGTTTAGGGTCTGAGGGCTTTGGCTTTTTTGTTTGTTGTTTTTTTGTTTTTTAGGACCTTGAAGTTAACCTTTTCGGATTTTATTGGGATCGCGCTAGCCTTGCGAGAAGTTGGGGATTGTAGGGTCTAGGGCATACTGCTGAGGGTTTGAAATAGACTCAATTCCCGAGAGATTCGAACCGAGATGCTACCGCTGAGACCTTCTACAAAAAGTAAGCCCTAACCCCTAAACCCTAAACCCTAAACCCTAAACCCTAAACCCTAAACCCTAAACCCTAAACCCTAAACCCTAAACCCTAAACCCTAAACCCTGACCAGCCCCCCTTGTGAGCATTGCTCTCCCGGCTCACATGGGCGTCATCATGGCTTGCATCATCGCGCAGGCCAGTGGGTTGTCCTTCAACCCTAAACCCTCAACCCTAAACCCTAAACCCTAAACCCCGAAAGCCTAAACCCTAAACCCTAAACCCGAAAGCCTAAGCCCTAAACCCTCATTTAGGGCTTAGTAAACCCTAAACCCCAAACGACTTGAGGCTTAAACAACCTACGTCGCAAGTCCCTGCAAATGAACCCCACAACGTCCCCACCCAAACGTTGCCCTAAACCCTAAACCTGCGCCCCCTCATAACCCGGTTTCGTCCTCGGGCTTCTCTGGGTACACGTCGCTACCCATGGGCGGCTCGTCGACCACCAAGATGGTCCTGCAACTCGGGTTTGGGGTGTAGGGTTGAGGGTTTAGTGTTTAGGGTTTTTAGGGTTTTTAGGGTTTTTAGGGTTTTTAGGGTTTTTAGGGTTTTTAGGGTTTTTAGGGTTTTTAGGGTTTTTAGGGTTTTTAGGGTTTTTAGGGTTTTTAGGGTTTTTAGGGTTTTTAGGGTTTAGGGTTTAGGGAGGACTTAGGGTGAAGCAGATCGGTACCTCTGGGCTTGGCTTAGAGTGTGTTTCTACCAGTTCGGGCTTGATTGTCAAAGGTCGAAAGATCCCTGATCCCTAAACCCTAAACCCTAAACCCTAAACCCTGTGCTCCTTTTGCTTATTGGGCTTGATCGTCAATGGCTGGAAGAAGTACGAGTTGTTGCCGCCAGTAGGGGCTTGTTCGTCGAAGATGGGAAGAAATACGATGTGTTGCCACCATTTTCGGCTTGATGGTCAAAGATTGCAAGATGCACGGTTTGTTTACACCAGTTTGGGCTTGATTGTCGAAGCTTGAAAGATCCCGATTCCAAAAACCCTAAAACTGAACCCTACACCCTAAACTGAACCCTACACCCTAAACCCTAAAACCACATCACTCACTCATATCACGCACACGTCACACACACACACAACACACACATCACTCACACATCACTCACTCACACATCACCCACACATCACCCACACATCACTCACACATCACTCACACATCACTCAAACATCACCCACACATCACCCACACATCACCCACACATCACCCACACATCACTCACACTTCCCTCACACATCACTCACACATCCTGTACCCACCTTGGGTCTTGAAAAAGAACAGATATTCCCCATGTAGAATGGAAGACGAAAGTGACATGTCTGAGTACTGCAGACTCTTACCGTTCATCCCCGAAATGGTTGCCCATGCCACAAGATCCCAAACGGTGTTTTGGAACATACACAAACACACATCGCACACAACCACCTTAATCCCTATGATGTTGCAAAAGAACACCCTCATCCCCAGGAAAAGTCTTGAGCAATTGTGTCCTTGGCCAAGAGATCTCTCTACTTCTATTTTGTAGCACTTTCGTTTTTGAACTTTGCATTTGCACTGTTCTTGCAGTTTTTGTCATTTTGTTTCATTGGGCTTCACTGTCAAAGAATGGAAGAAGTACGATTTGTTGCCGGTGATTTGCTGGCATCTGGGTGAGGCAGAGCCAGACGTTTTGGAATTTGCTTTGGAGTCCGCGCTTTTGTAGTTTGCATTAGACGTTTTTAGATAACAGACGTTTTGGAATCCTGAACCCTAAACCCTAAACCCGAAACCCTAAACCCTAAACCCCCGCCCCCCCCCGGGCCTGTTCGGGTCGAGCTGCCTCAGCACCCAGGAGGCACTGGCGGAGTCGCACATCAAGAAGATGCCTGGCCACGGAAGGGAGGCGGGAGTTCTTTGGGTTTAGGGTTTAGGGCTTCGGGTTTAGGGTTTAGGGTTTAGGGTTTAGGGTTTTGGGTTTAGGGTTTAGGGTTTAGGGTTTAGGGTTTAGGGTTTAGGGTTTAGGGTTCAGGGGGTTTTGGGGTTTAGGACTTAGGGCTTTTCAGGGCTTTTGAGTGCTTTTGAGTTGACGGGTTAAAGGGCTCAGGGGCTTGCTTTGCTTCGAAGTGCAGTGTAGGGTTTTAGGGTTTGCGGGGCAGTAAACCTTAAACCCTAAGCCCTAAACCCAGAACGCCCATGGTAGGCCGAGGCGCGCGGGAAGCGCTTCAAGTCGTGGAGGTTGCCTTTGGGACATTCGAAAGAGCTTTCGGAGTGTGCGGCTTAGGGGGTTTGGGGCTTGCGGGGTTTACGGTCTTGGGGCTTAGGGCTTCTTTGGGAGTTTAGGGCTTTGGGGTTTCGCCGGGTACAAGGCTGAGGACTGTTATGTAAGGGCATTTAAGGGTCCCCTAGGGTTAGGGTTTAGGGTTTAGGGTTTAGGGTTCAGGGTTTAGGGTTTAGGGTTTAGGGTTCAGGGTTCAGGGTTCAGGGTTTAGGGTTCCTAAACCCCCTGAACCCCCCTAACTTTCCCCAAGCCGCCTACCCGATGCCCGAAACCCCACGCCCCAAAGCTCTGAAGGCGGCGAAGGAGCGCTTCCTCTTCTTCTCGGCGAGCCGCTTCTTCTTGCGCTCGAGGTTAAGCTTCACGACCTCCAGCGATGGAGGGCTTAATGTTCCAGGGTTTAGGGTTTCAGGGGTTTAGGGGTTCAGGGTTTCAGGGTTTAGGGTTTAGGGTTTCAGGGTTTTAGGGTTTAGGGTTTAGGGTTTCAGGATTCAGGGATTCAGGGTTGACATAAACTTATGTGGTGTGTAGGGGCATGGGGCTTATAGGGCTGGCTTAGGGTTCCGGGTTTAAGGTTTGGGGGTGTAAGGTGCGCATCTAGACCCATACACCCCCACACTCAGAGCTTCCTAGACATCTTGCTTTTTGGGTTCGGGGGAAGTCAGGTTGGCACACTTGAGGAATGCGTTAGACAGGGCCCTAAGACCCTAAACCCTCCCCGAGATGTCTCCAGATTCTTCTTCGTGCGCTGGGGATTCGGGTTTTGGGGGTTTAGGCTTATGGGTTTATAGGGCGGCGTATGGCTCAGGGTGCCGGCCTTAAGCACCCCAAGCCCTGAACCCCCAAAACCCTAAACCCTAAACCCTAAACCCTAAACCCTAAACCCTAAACCCTAACCCCTAAACCCTAAACCCTAAACCCTAAACCCTAAACCCTAAACCCTGTGTGACGCCACACACCGGCGCTCAGAGGCCGGCCATGTATCTCAAGCACTCCACCGCCGTCTGGGCCGGCCTTGGCAGAGGCTCTTGTGATGGGTGCCCACAAGTTGAGGCTCAGGGTTTAGGGTTTAGGGTTTAGGGTTTAGGGATTCGGGTTTGAAGGCTTCAGGGTTTAGGGTCAATGCTTTTGAGGCTCGGTGGGCAAGAAGGCCTAACAACGTTGAGGCCTCAGCGTTTAGGGTTTAGGGCTTGGGTTAAGGGCTTAGGGCTTAGGGCTTAAGGCTTAGCGCTTAGTGTTTAGGGTTTAGGGTTTAGGGTTTAGGGCTTAGGGTTTGAAGGCTTCAGGGTTTAGGGTTAGGCCCCCCTAAGGCACAAAAAACATGTTGCGAAGACGGGTGGCTTGTTCGGCTCCGCCGGCATGTCCACGTGGGTGCCCAGGCCCCGGCCACAGGAGTAGCTGGGGGTGATCCGCCGGCCTTTACCTTGCATTTTGCTTGGGTTTAGGGTTTAGGGTTTAGGGTTTAGGGTTTAGAGTTTAGGGTTTAGGGTTTAGGGTTTAGGGTTTAGGGTTTAGGGTTTAGGGTTTAGGGTTTAGGGTTTGGGGTTTGGGGTTTGGGGTTTAGGGGTTCGGGTTTAGGGTTAGGGTTTCGGGTTTCGGGTTTCGGGCTTCGGGTTTCGGGTTTCGGGTTTCGGGTTTCGGGTTTCGGGTTTCGGGTTTCGGGTTTCGGGTTTCGGGTTTCGGGTTTCGGGTTTGAAGCTCAGGGTCCCAGACCCTGCAGATCCTGAAACCTTGGGCACCACCTCATGTTTAGTGGACCTGGGTTTCGGCCACTTCCGTGCACTTGAAACTCTTGGGGTTTAGGGCTTGGAATGTAGAACCATCCAAAACGCTTTGACCATGCCAACCCTCTTGGTTTACTAATTTCTTGCTCGGGAACCAGAAAGATAAGGGGCTCCGGAAACAATACCTCAGAGGGCACATCTTGGAGGACTTAAGGTACCATAACCCGACCCAGACCTCCAAACCCTAAACCCTAAACCCTGAAACCTCAACGCTAGACCCTAAACCTTAAACTCTAAACTCTAAAACCTAAGCACTAAAACCCGATACAGAGCCCGGGCCGCAGAAGGCATAGGGGATGCCAAGGGTATTGGAGATGCGCCCCACGCTGAGCACCACCGGCAGGGCCGGGCAGCAGAAGACCAGCCTCGGCGTTGGGGGTTTAGGGTTTAGGCTTAGTGCTGGTGTGAACCAGCAGGCTGAGCAGAAGGAACTAGTGGAGTGATCAATTCCCTAGCCCCATTCCCAACCATGGCTCACACAATAGGCGGAGATCTTTTACGCGCAGAAGCAACAGATCAACAAAGGAACAAAAAAGGTCTCTGCAGTGTAGGGCTACGGCTCCTACAGTATGATATGTACATGTTTAAATATGTGGCATGCTCAAGGCTTGAGTTTGGGCCTAGAAGCCACAAGGAAAAATGCGCACTGCAATTGACTAGAGAATGACATGTACAGGAGTAGACTTCAACACTCCTCCTTCGCAACACCGCCAGGGTATTGCGACAAACAAAACCTGTACATGTCCATCCCTTCCGGGAGGAGGTACGAGCTCCGACCGAAGGAAAGGCTGTAGCTGGCCGGCTGGCCTCAGAGTGCGAGGGCTCTCACGGCACCTCTTTGCAAAAGGAAAGCACTGCTGGCAGGCCTGCGCAATGGGGCGCGCAACCTACCCGTCAGGGCGGCGGATGCCCTAACGTGTGCTATGCTGCGTGCAGTCTGCCTGGCTCCTGTGGCACTGCCGGCAGACCTCAAACACAACAAACTTGTGTGAACGGGCAAGTGTGGAACAGGCCTTGGTGCGATGAAGCGTGTTGCCCTCGGGCGTTGCAAAGAAACGAGTTGGTGCTTCATCGGCCTGCCTAGTGGAAGCTGGCGCGTTCCTCCCGGAAGCGGTCGCAAGACTCTGTGAGGAACTGGCCGCTGTCTCTCTCTCAGAGATTTCTGCCCGGATTGCTTGCTCCGTGCGGTCCCTGAGACGCTGCAACTTGCGTGCCTTTCGCGGGCTTAGCGACACACTGCTCATGCCGAAGGTCCTGCGGGACAAGAAGGCAAAACTCCACTTCAGAAACTCCCACAAAACAATGGCACAAAACGCAACACCGAAAATGCACACTGCAAGCATCAGGTCGGCGTCCAAGGGAACTGGGAGCGACAGATCTTCGGGCTCTTCGTCCTCCTGACTGGCAGCGCCTATAACCTGTGCAAATGCTAGCAAAACCGCTAGTGCTCTCAAATGCTGATCGGTCTGAGTGACAGTGCCAGCTTCCGCTGCACGGGGCTCTGCAAAAAGAGACCTCACCTGTGGAGTGGACTGTGCGCTGTACTCAAGCAAGCCCCATATCGCTAAGAGCTCACTGATCCTTGCAGATGGGAGCGCCTTGGTGAGAAGGTCAGCGGCTTGCTCTACACCTGGGCAGTAAACGGGAATGATCTCGCCAGTCTCATACTGCTCCCTGAGATAATTGGCGCGCACCCTCAGGTGGCGGGTTCGCCAAGAACCTTGGCCAATGGCGATGGCAAGCGCAGACTGTGAGTCAACCCTCAAGGTCTTACCTAAGTTAACGACCCCAAACTCACCCAGCATGGCCTCTGCAGACTGCAATGCAACGACAGCATCAAGTCCTGCGACAAGCTCGGACTCTGCAGTGCTGAGTGTGACAAACGCCTGCCTGGCCGAACGCCAGCAGACAGGCGATCCGTGCAAGAAGACTACCCAGCCGGTGTGTGAGCGGTTGCCGTCTGGTGCAAAAGAGGCATCACTGTATGCTACTAGGCCTGTGTCATCTGCGTCAGCAGTGAGAGCAAAGGCTTTGGTTTGCTGCACGTAGGCGAGTGCTCTTTCAGCGATGCGTGCAGCCCTTTCAGGCGCCTTTGTGCTCAACGTAGCAAGAACACAAGCGGTGAACGCGAGATCCGGTCTCGTGCGCTGGCTCAGCCACAAGATTTCTCCGGTCAGCCTCTGGGCTGTGCGAACTGACTCCTCGGCGGGGGACTCATCCGTCAGGAGAGTGTCGAAGGACACTAAGTCCCTTGGGCAAGGGATCTTACCCAGCGCAGTGGGCTTGACGTTGTTGAGGCGTAGCAGCTCCTCTGCGTAGGCCTCAGCCAGCAAGTAGGAAGTCATCGACGTAGGTGATTAAACCTCCCACGACTTGTCCATCACTGGTTTGCACGACGCGCCACCAGTTCGTGTCTAACTTGCCCTTGAGTAGCTGCAACTCAACTCCGTTGACCACGCATCTAAGGGCCAAAAGCTGGGAATCCCTAAAGTCTGACCACAGCTTTGGTGACTCCCTGAGGCCATAGACGGCGTGCGTGAGGATCCAGAGCTCTCCCTCCTGTGCAAGACCTTGTCGCACAAGGTAGCGTGGCGGTGTTAGAGCAAACACAGGAAACCCGTCGCCCTGAGGGATGGGCGTCAGGAGGAATGCTGAGGTGACATCTAAGATGCCTAGCATCCAACGCCTCTTAGAGCTAATGACCACCAAACAACGAAGTGACTCTGCTGCAGCGCCTGACGCGTATATCTCGGTGCCAGTGGAAGGGGCATGGTTTCCACACGCAACAAGCCTCGCCTTGCGTTTAAACAAGCTTGGCTGAGCTGCATGCTCCCCGTTCTCGGGCGCGATAGCTTGCACGTCAGGCGGTTTGACTGTGAAAACCATCTTTGCCGGTACGACCCTCACGTCAGTGCGGTGAAGCCAGTTCCCTTTTCGCACCTCACCAGGCGGCAAACTGCGCACAGCCTTTTCTATGACCCCGATCTCTTTGTGGACTGACGGGAGCCACACCTCACTGTGCTTTTCCGCCTCTCGCGGGTCAACAGTGTGAACTATCTGCAGTGGCTCAGTTAGACCACTTAGCAACTGCTCAATGTCCGGGGTGTACACTGGCTCGGACTTGCAAAGACGCGGGTCCAGGTCGTCAGACCGGAGGGCACACAGCCACTCACCCGTCTGTGGGCTTGGAAAGGAGAGTTCCCACTGCACGGGCTGCTCTGGCCAAGGCTCCTCCTCGACCTGTGCGGGGGGTTGTGGCTCCAGGGTCTGCAAAGCGCAGAATGCTTGCTCGCGCTGCGCTGTGTGAGAGTCTGGGGTGTGCTTGAGGTTCCATGACACCTCTAGCTCTACAGTTCCAGCCTCAACCTTTTGAGTCTCCTTCCAACCCCCGCCCTTGTCTACTTTCTGCGCTTCCCTTGAGCTGTCTTCACTTGCGAGCTCTAAGGGGCCCTCCTCGAACATGTCAAACACGTCTAGGCGCCTTACATCTTGCTGCGTCGTGAGTGGTAAGCGCGCTGAGGCAGGGAGCGGAAAGCCTAAGGACTCCAGGGCTTGAAGCTCAGACTCTGGGACTTTCCCTAAGGTGTTTACAGTGTATGCTACGAGCACAACCCTTTCACCTTCAAAAGGAGTGGTTGCATGACGGCGTTTGGGGTCAAGGTAGAAGGGCTTGCCTCTCTGCAGGCTGCGCGTTGCGCCCAACCACTTCTTTCCTGCACCGTCAACTCTTTGCTCAACAGGCCCGTGGAGGACATCTCCTGCTCGCAGTTCTACCCACAAGTCTCCTCCTTCAGGAGGGAGCTTGAGTGGAAGGACTACGTTAACAGACCCTTCTACGTTGTTATGGTCTGCATGCAGGGACATGGGGTTAGTGTTTGAGAGCCAAAGACTCGTGAATTCGGCCTCTGGGCTTACAGACAGAAGCGTCGCTGCCATAAGCTCTGTGAGCCAAGAGTGGGAGTTTGTAACGCTTGTGGTGCCTACTACACCACCATGTCGGTAAAGGCCGGCCTTAAGGGACTGCAGACGGCTGAACTGGACCAAGACCCACATGGCCTCTTCGAGGTCCCAGTCTTCAAGCAGCAACTCCTTGGCAAAACCCTCAAGGTCCACAACACTAAACCGACTAGCCCTAAACTCCTGCTCAACGGCTTCACCCACTACACCTAAACCTTTAGGCAAGGCTTGCTCAGGCGGACACTCACTGTCAGGTAGTGGTGACAACCGGGACTCACGAACTGCAAGGCTTGACTTCTCACGGAGTCGGACGCGACGTGGAGGTAAGGCAGGTTCCGGCGCACGCTCACCTTCCGGCGGCGGAACGGGCGGCGGCGGCAAGGGTGGCTCGCCAGCTGCTGGCGCAGACTTCCCACGCACACGCCTTGCTGGCTCGAGCGGCGCGGGCTCCCTCACATCGCCCTCATACACACGGTCGGGCATTTCTGGCGAGTGGAGGCGTGAGCGCACGTGGAGTGTTTGGAGAAAGCCGTTCCCCACTCCATCATTGCGTAGGACGACGTGGCCATCATTGACAGAAGGCGACAAACCCACCTATCCCCTAAGTCACCCCTAGAAGGTCCGTAAAACTTGAGCTTCACGGAACTGGAAGAAGAGCGCACTGCCGCATTGAGCGGCATGCTCTCCGCGTGCGCCTCAAAAACAATGTAGGCAATGTGTTTAGCTCAGCCAGCCACTAAACACACGCACAAAACAAAGTCATGAGGCTCAAAACTTCAGCTAAAAAACGAGGTGGAGGGGGGAAAAAACAAGCAGACAGGAAAACATAGCATATATCACAAATGCCGTCATATATTGTAGCAGTCAACTCCTTTGGAACCGAAAAGGGGGGGAGCAAGACAAGTCAAAGCAAACAGAAAAACTATTCAAACAGCAACGGGAAGACTCGCACTGGTGGGATGGAACAGATCATACTAATGTGCATAAGTCACAGAACGCGGGCCGCACAGCAGATTTCTTTTGACGCAGGACAGGACCTGGTCTGGGCAGGGGGACAGGACCCCTCTGCTTCGCAACCGGACGAGACCGGTGCGTCAAAAGTTGAAAGGAAATGTGGCATGAGCATCGCGCGTTGTGCAAGTTTGTGAGCCACTGAAGACTGTTAACACACGCACTCAGCCACTGAGAACGGTCACCCCTCTACTTTGCAGCCGAACTGAGCCGGTGCGTCAAAAGTTCGGAAAAACAGCTGAACTCGCGCGTGACACCGTGCTTTACATGTTTTGCTCAACTTAAACGTCAACGACTCGCACGTCACGAAACAGCCTGTGACCTACCGCCCTACCGACGTTTGTATCGGCTTGCCTCAGGCGTCTCACTTTTCCGCTTCAAGCCGGACCCCGTCGACTGTTTGCCCTTCCCTTTTGCTGGGATACCGAGATCATCGCATACGGCTTGGTGTAACCTCCCAGGACGCCAAGTTCCCTCACGCATCCCTAGCTCTGGCCACACCCCGCCCTTCTTCGCAAAAACTGGCCTCAGCCTCGGATCAAGCCACAGACTGCGAAGTTTTTGCCCTGTCGCACCAAACTGGAACGTTGTCACGAGTACCCATGCCCTATCGTCTTCTGGCGCACGACTCAAATTCGAGATTGCGGATATTCCCACCGTCGAACCCAAGGCCACCAACTCCTCTGCAGCTGTGCTTGCCTCTGTCCCTTGCCTCGAAGCTGCTTCTGACAACGCCCCCAACAGCGCGTCATACACCAGCAACTTAAGCGGTTTACCCTTTTCCTTCGTCCCATTCATCACTGCTTCCCTGTCTGACTGATACACGGCCAAGACCTCTTTGAGTCGAGACCTCAAGAGCCCGGACAACTATCTGCTGTCCGCTCCGAGCTTCCCCTGAGTCCCTTGACGCCTGCACTGCCAGTTGACTGGTACGTTCCAACTTTCCTGAAACTTCTTCCAGTTGCGAGCGGAGCTGATCCACGTCGTCAGCATTCACGGAAGAACGGGTGTCTCGGCCTCTGTCACGGTCCTTGTCTGGACGGTCACGGTCACGACGGTCACGCTCACGAGCCATGGTGTTGCTACGCTTGTCAAGCTTGTGGGATTTGAGAACGCGCGGAAACACATGTGGCTTGTGAACACTGACATTGCTGGACTGCACAACAACACACACTGACAGAAGCTTGAACTCATGTTTGCAGTCCAAAGTGCGACTGTCGCACCTTCGCGGCGTACTGGAGTCAGCTTACCCCTCCGATTCTTCCCAGATTAAAACTTCATGATCCCGCAAATGTTCAGCAGTTCTGTGTCGCTTAAAAGTTAATACATTCGAGATTTGAACAGGGTTCGGATCTCCGCGACTGCGACATAAGGGGCAGGGCGCAGGAAACGCATCGCTCGGTATTTCATGTGCTTCTGCTATGTGTAACCGCAACATGGGCTCTCCGGGGTACACACTTCTACAGTGGGGACACACCAAAGCCGGAGAATTTTCAATGTGATCCCGCCTATAATGTTGCGTTAGCTTGTTTTGTCGCGCAAACAGTCTAGGACATAACGCACATTGGAATCCTTCCTCCCGAAAGGTACCTGTGGTATGAGTTGCCTGTATATGGGACGCTAATCCAAGCTTAGTAGGAAAGACGCGCTTACAAATGGCACATTTATAATTTCCTTCTTCGTGTATTGTTGAGGAAACTGTTTGACGTGACTTAGGTGTTTTCATACCCTTAGTCATGCGTTGTACTGCCCATTCAGGGTCTTGCTCTTGTGCTTGGGCCCGACCTGGACCTTCTGGATCCGGAAAACATGCCGGACGTGCTTGTTTAAAGTAGAGCCGGCGTTTAACAGATGTATTTACAAGATTAGTTTTAGTTTGTGCGGCCAGGGCTTCTGTCAGCGTTTTTTGATGTTGTATCGTACGGAGGAATAGCAAAAATAATCCCAGGTCAACTTCCACCTCTAGTACATCCACCCACGGTTCGTGTTCAGTAACGAATTGAAGCAACTCCCTAGTTTCAGTGTCCCACCATTTGTCTGGCCCATTTGTGTCCAACCAGGTTGCTACTGCTTTGCGAAACGTAGTTTCTCCTCCATGTTTTAACTCCATGCTCAAGAAGCCCGAACTAACTTTGGCCTCTTGCAATACGGCCTGCTGGCGTTGCACCAATTGCCAGAACGCTGCGCGGGGTTCATGAGGGCGAAGGTTTTTACTTTTTGCGGCTGTCTGGCCTAGCTCCGGCAACGGCTTGAACGGATTTTTTGGCTGGTGCCACGGTGCCGCCTGAAACACAATTTGTCTCCAATTCGCACCGCCATTTTTCCTAGCCATGTGCAACCATTCCAGTTTGGGCACTCCTACCAACTCGAGGTCGTTAACAAAGTCGAAGGACAACCATTTCCCTGTTCGCCTTCCTGGTTTTGTTGGGGCACCTACATCTCCCGGCAGAAAGGCAAATAGCATTTGCTTTGGCAACCTCTCCGGTGCCATTCTTGCCAGGTGGCCTAGCCATCTTAATCGCGCCTGTGACACCAACTGTCGAATGGTAGGGACCCCCAGTCGTGCCCGCAATTCCTGATTGTTGATATGTAACTGCTCCTGGTCCAGAATTCCAATTTTTGTAATTTTCCTTAAACATTTCATGTGAAAGACCTCTAATCTTCGTCTACACAGAAAGGTGGTGGTCCAAGATTCCGCTCCAAACAACAATACTGAGAGCACACACGCCCTGTATACTTGTAGCTTAACGGCCAAGGAGATCTGTTTGACATCCCATACGTGACTTGCTAAACTCCAAAAGGCTTTTCTAGCTTTGTCTATACGATATTGGATCTCCTGTACACATCCTTGTTTATGCTCGATATGTGATCCCAAATATTTAAACTTGTCAGCAAATTTGAGCTTTGAGAAGCCTCCCACCTCTTTAACAGAGATTGGATCCGGTGTCTCTCCTTCTGTTAGAAACAGCTCAGTTTTTTCTACAGACATAGTCAAGCCCCATTGAAAATAGTGATTTTGCAAATCCCGCGCCAGCTGTACTAACTTATCATACGTGTCCGTGATAAAGGCCGCATCGTCAGCATATCCAAGGTCATGCAGCTGTAAGGAGTGCCAAGTCGTGTATTTGTTAAGAGATTGCTCATCCATATGTCTGCGCAAGATACCATCAATACGGTACTTAAATTCCAGTTTTGGAGGGGTGCAAGTCTCCCAGCTTTCCATGACTGCTGATAGGAATACATTAAAAAGTAGCGGCGCCAAACAACAGCCTTGGCCCAAACCAGTGGCCAAATCGAACGGGGAGGATAGAGTTCCTTCAACCGACACTCGTGCCGTTTTTCCTTGGTAAAATTTTTTGATGAGACTAACCAGTGTTGGAGGCACTCCCTTATACTGTAAAATTTCCCATAGTCCGAATCTTGATACAGAATCGTAAGCTTTCATAAGATCTACGAAAAGTACATACAACGGCAGATGTTTTGCTCTAGCTAACTCTATGGCCATTCTTAATGTAAAGATCATATCGGTGGTTCCACGGCCCGCACGGAATCCGCATTGTGATTCAGGAATGGCCTGATGTCCTTCAAAATGTTTGACTAGTCGACCGTTAATAATTTTAGCGAGCACCTTTCCTGGAACAGCATTTAAAAGGATGCCTCTCCAGTTAGCACAGTCGGCTAAATCTCCTTTTTTTTTTTTTCTCCTTTTTTTGGCATAGGAATGAGATATGCATCGTTCCATTCTCCTGGTATATCCTGGCATCCTATCCAGAGTTGACAAAGGTGTTCATGTAAAGATCGCAAAACCGGATATGATAGGACCTGAAGCACCTCGGCCGGTAGCCCATCAGGTCCGGTGGCTTTACCTTTTTTGAGGGACTTTACCGCAGCCAGCGTTTCAGCAAAAATGGGCAATTCCGCAAGTACATTTTGGACGGGCAGTCGTTTAATTTGTGGGAGCATGTCCTCATTTAGCGGCGCATCTACATTAAGCAGGTTTTGAAAGTGTTCTCTCCATCTATGTACCCTATCTGTACGTGACTCCAGCAAATTACCTTTTTTATCCTTAACTTTCGCAGGTGCTCTTTTGCCCGAGTGAAAAACTTTCCGCAATTGACGAAAGCCCTGGTATTGATGGTTTGGTTCCTTCCTATTGACAGCTTGTTGTATGGCCTCAGCCTGTGTTGACCACCATTGATTTAAGATTGACTGAACTTGTTTCCGGTTCTCTCGACAGATGCGTCTATACTCTGTCTCTTTTTCAGGATGGGCTTGAAATTGGGCGAATGCCTCTTGTTTAATTTTGGATAACCTTGCTAGCTCCTCTGCATTATCGAGTTGCCATTGTGGTCTGCGTTTTCGTTCCTGAGTACCGATGACAGTTTCTGCAGTTGAGCGCACGTCTTTTGACCAGAGAGAAAGATTATTCAGGATTCCTTCCCCTATATTACTTTCGATGTTGTCGTTAAGAGACTGCACTACATCCTTGTCAGTGAGGCGAGCCACGTTTAACGCCGTAATTCTCCCTTTCGACTCCATGGTCTGCAAATGACGTCGTCCCCACCATTGTTTACACTTACGTGTGATACGCAAGTCTAGTCTTACCAGTCGGTGATCACTATCAAAATCAAGTCCGGGCATTACACATACGTCCATGCACATAGCCGCAGTGTCTGAAGACAGAAGTACGTGATCTATATGATGCCATTGCTTTGTCCTATTGTGTTGCCATGTTCCGTAAGTCTTATGCTGGAAAAAGGTGTCCATTACTCGCAAGGGCTTACCACGCTGCGACCTGCAAAAATCTAACAACAACCTGCCATTGTCGTTTAGCTCTGGTAGCCCAAAATCCCCAACAACAATGTCAGAGGACTGTTCATCAGTGTCCATGTCATCGGGTCCCTGTCTGTCCGAGGTTCTTGTCCCAACCCTTGCATTGAAATCTCCCATGATGACTAGTTCCTCGCACGCACGACACTTCCCTGTGAGACTCCTCAAATCATCATAAAATTTGTCTTTCTCAATTTCGGGCGCTCTAAACGTTGGGGCATACACAGAAATCACCCGAAAGGTTCTGTCCTCAATACGCACTTTGATTTCTAATAGTCTCTCGCTGTGATAGTTGACATATGACCCAGCTGCCCTCCATGCTTGCTGCATCTTTGGATTCAATGCAAATGCTACTCCATGTAGGGAAACAGGTGCATCTTCTGGTAATCCCGAGAAGATATACAGAAAGTCTTGCGCCTCAAAGGTACCTTGTCCTTTCCAGCGAACTTCCGACATGGCACACAGCGAGATGTCATGTTTATCCAACAAATCACACACGTCATATGGTTTCCCCGGATCGGCTCCTTCAATATGTAATACTCCCCCTACATTATGTATTTTGGTCTGCATAGTACGAACATTGACGGCTCCCCACCTCCATCGCGTAGAATGCCTCCTTGAGTGCTTAGTAGTCAGGCGGTTGCCAGCCGCCTTCACTATTGGCTGATCGCACACAAGTTGGCAAGGTCGTGATTTCATATCGCGGTCTTGGGCAAGAGAAAGAAGGGTGAACAGCTTGCCAGGCTGAACACCCTTTCAGGGACGCAAATCGTCAGTGGGACCCACCGAAGTGGGGACCGTACCACTTTAGATTAACGCCCCCATTTGCGTCTACCGTTAGCTGCTGTGTCAAAGCGAAGCTTGTAAATTTGCACAACTGACGCCCCCAAATTAACAACTCACACACACACAACAAGAAAGTACAGCAGGTACACCCCGACACCTGAGCACCTGCCTGGGCAAGCAGGTACTCTTCTTTGAGGTGGTAGTACGACTTTGTACGGAACACGGCGCCCCAAACGGCGCGGCAAGCTTAGACTTGAGGCCTAGCTGTTGCGCTCGTTGCTGCGATGCTGCCGTGGCCATTGCACAAGCCCAGTGCTCCGTTCCAACCTCGGCCTGTGCCAGAAGCGTGCGTGCCCTAGCCTTTAGCCAACGGATAGTGTTCTCGGCTGCTCCGTTCTGCTGCGGCGTGTCTCCTTCCCCAGTTGTGGCGCGCACGCCATGCTCATGGAACCAAGCACGGGTCCTTTTGTTAAAGAACTCCCGACTTCTATCCGAGTGAAAACGCAACACAGGAAGGTTCAACGAACGCAGTTCCAGGAACACTTGTTGCAGTGCTTCTAGCACCGCTTCACTCTTGTTCGTGTGTAACGGAACAACAAACACCAACCTAGCTAAACCGGGCGGAGCTTCAAAGTCACACTTAGCGTGCTCCCAAGGGTGCTCTTCCTTGGGTTTGTGGGCTTTATCCTTGGCCTTGGCCTTGGCCTTTGCAGCTGCAACGCGTGGAGCATCGGACTCATCACTTGTGGGGCAATAACCTAAACAATCCTCAGGCAGTACGTCCTCCCCGTCAGGGTGGTGCTCTGGCCCCGGCGGGCCTTCCACAACAACATCGGCTAGCTCGTCCTCCCCGCCAGGGTGGAGTGAAGGGTCGTCGAACCCATCAACCTGCGTTGGGTTGGGTTCGTCCTTTGTCCCCTGGAGTTTAGGAAAACGATACGACGCTGCTAAGAAGTACCGGAACACAGGCGGATGCTTGCTCCTACCTTCGGGGTCTTTTGCGGGGACCCTGATGGGTCCAGCCACGTCGGCAGACAGGCAATATACATCAGGGTGTGCGACTCCTTGATGCCTACGGCCGGTGCCGGCGCCTCGTACGCAAACCCCACAATCCCTACGGTACGGAACGTGGTTATTTTCTACATGTAGTTGCCAGTCCTCGGGACTCATGCGGCATAGCTGGTAGCGGGGCCAACACTGTAGTGCTTGCACTATGGCTCTAACAAAGTGCGGCGCCCACGCGGCTAAGTCCTTTGAGTCGCCTGCCCACGCTGGCTTAGGACTCTCCTCCCGGAGGCCGTGCAAGCCCCTCAGGTCAGGAAGGTTCGTGCCTATGGTGGTTGGCTTCGTGGTCACATGGCCCAACGCACCTTGGTCAAAGTCGACCTCGAACAGGCCGGCCTCTGAGGCGTAGGCCTGCCATAGAGTCGTGTGCCAAAACGAGGGAACTTCACCAACCAAGGTGTGGCCCGGAGGCAGATAGCGGTCAACTGGCTGAGGCTGCTCAAGCAAGAATGCCACCTGCGACGATTGTTCCGCCGATTGACGATGGACACGCCTCCCGGCTGTCGCAGCTGCGTGCAAGAACAACATCCGTGCAAACAGGCCCGTGTCATTGTCTACGAGCTCACGCTCGGCAGCACTAAGATCGCTCAGACCATACGGCTCAGCAGGGGACCGCACTGGCCTTGGACCTCCGGGCTTATGCCGAAGAACTGACATGGTACGACAAGGAGGGCCGCCAATCACAGCTGCAATGCGCCCATCCCTCGCCGCCTTCACCAACAACCTCCAAAGTGGCTCGGAGTACAGATTGTGGATGCTGGAGCGTGCGATGTCCAACTCCACCACCACCGTTCCATCCGACTGCAGCTTGAGAAGCTCTTTATGGGGTTGAGGGCCTGCACACAAGTGAACAACCCATTTGGTGGAACGATGTAGCGCCTTCCTCCTCCTCCTGTTGAGGTTGGGAAAGGCCTCGGACAGCGCTCGCCAAAATGAGTCCACATCTTCCGACGGGAGAATGCCACGCAACGCTTGCTCCGGATCCTCACTGAAGAACGGAGCCTGTGCAATAGCCATTTCCCCTGCTGTGAGGTTACCATCTCGGGCATACTCAACCAGATGGTCCCACCAAGTCTTGTCCAATGCGATTCGGGCTTCACGAATCCTGTCCTTTCCTTCCTGCGTCCTTTTCCTCAGCTCATCAACCTGTTGCAGCTTGTGCTCCTCCAACTTGGAAATCATGGTTAAGGCCTGGCTCTCCATCACCTCGGGACACCCATTACGAACCCTGAGCCGAACCACCTTACCATCTGGAGCATAGAGCTTGCAACAACCAGCGGACCAACTCAATGAATACCCCAACTGCTCTATGATGGCACCCATAGGAACTATTGGCTGCACTGGGCCATCCTGCCTCCCGGAGTGTGCCTGCGCGGGTCAAACGCATGAACGTGCTTTGATCGCCGGCTAAACTGACCTGTACCTCCTCAGCGACCTCCCATTCCTCCTCAGATGAGGCTTGCCGCATCGGGTGAGTGGCCCCTGAGTCAAGAAGGGCATGTCCAATGAAAGGTTGCTCGGATGGCTCTGGAAAAGTCCCGGTTTGGGGATCCGAAACCGGGAAACAGCTCGCAGGCATGAGTGAGCGTATTGTGAGCCTTTTGAGGGATGGATTTGAAGGCTGCTGCACGCCACCTCCGTCAGGAGTGGGGGCCGCTGGGGCAGGCACAGTGGATACTGGACCCTGCGACGGCTGTTGCCCATGAGTGGCATGCGCAGCTTCAAGCTGCCTCAAGGCGTGGGATGCATGCTGAAGGAAGGAATCCATGGATAGAACAGGCGTGGCCTGGACAACGGGTGGCGCGGAGGATGATGTGGAGGTGGAGGCTGCCTGGACTGACGGCTTCTGCTCCAGTGCCTTGGGTTCGGCCTTTCCAGCCTTGCAATCTTTGACGCGATGCTCCTCAGAGCCACAATTTAGGCACTTCTTGAACCTTTCAGCCGCTGGCAGGTCGCTCATGGAGTGAGGGGCCTTGCATTTCGCACCGAACTTGCACCCCTTAGGCGTAAGAAAGTACTTGCACGGCTTACCCTTCCCCCCACCCTTAGCTTCACCCCCTTTTCCCCCTGACTTGCCCCCCGTAGCGTCAATGGCCTTCAGAGCGGCACTGTTGCCTGACCCACCCTTTTTGGCAATCTGTGCTCCAGCCATGGTTTCAAACTCGGCTAACAAGTGCTTGTGATACTCCTGAACCGCATCTTCCGAAGGGTGAGTCTCGATGTGCAACATGCTGCGAACCATCTGAGTTCGGAACATAGGGTCCGGATTTTGGCTTAGGATATGGTTGGTCATTTTGGTGAGGGCACCGGCCAGAACTGTAGGATCTGGGGCTACCATACCGCAGTCAATGCAGCGCTTGTGCCACCTACCCCATGCCCTCAGCGCGGACACACCTGACACCACATCCTGAACAACATTGGGATTTTGCAGGTGATTCAACACCAATGCCTTTTCCGTGGAACCTCCAGGCTGATACAACGTGTAAAGCCGAAACATGATTTGAGTGGCTACTTGAGTGGTCCTGCGAGCTACCATTTCCGCTTTTACCCCTTGATCTAGGGCTGCTAAAATCATGGTGCACGCACGTGCATTGACCCTGGACCACTTTCCCTCCACCAGCTCCGGGCGCTCGTCAACCTCTACCCTGATGCGATCGAGCGGAGTAGCCTTAACCCACCTTTCATATGCATCACGGCTCACCTGCAGCACTGCGGTCCACCAATCATGCGAGGAATCGGACAAATCACCCATCAACCCTGCAACTAACTCCAACCAATCCTGAAAATCCAACGAACCACTCATCGGATCAGGAGCTTTCAGCATGGGAAGTGCAGTAGTGCCTGGCTTGACGGCTTCAGGGGCGTTGCTAACAACACTCTTATCCCGCATGCCCTGCGCCTGCATGGTTTGAAGCTGCTGCATTCCTGCAAACAAGGCATCCATCATGGGATTGCCTGAGGTAGCTGCTGCGCACGGCGTTGCACTTGCTGCAGGTGCTCCTCCTGGAGCTGCACTGGCCTGGGCACCTGATACCTGTGCAAGCGGCACCTGTGTACCTGCGCCTGAAACCTGTGGCACCTGTGCATAGGCAGCGGGTCCAACCCCTCCGGGTGGAGATGCGGGCACCTGTGTACCTTGCACCTGTGGCACCTGTGGCATTCCTGAGCCTTGAGGCCAGATCTGGCCCACACCCAGGTTTTCGGCTTGAGAAGGGGGGTTTGGGGCAGAAGAGGCCAAATTCACCTGTGCGGCGTCGTAGGACTGCCCGACCCCTCCGGGTGGGGTTGCACTGCTGGGCAAAGTATGGGAGCCCTGCAACCCTGACCAGAAGTTGGACCAAAACCCAGACGCGGCTGCTGCTGCAGCTTGAGCGGGCGCTCTCAAAGCACCAACTGCGGGCGCTGCAACATCCTGCACCTGCGCATAGGTGTGGACCTGAGCATCTTGCGACGATGGCACCTGGAGAGGAATGGGGACCTGCATTTGTGATGGAGCGGGGGCTTGCGGGGCACTGCTTGAAGCTGCCGCCTCCCTAGCCAACTGCTCCCTCATGACCTTCTCCTGCTCTAGTTGCCTCCTCAAACGCTGGATCTCAAGGTCCTGGGCCTGAGCCCTTTGATCAAACCCTGCCAACTGCCTAGCAACCTCGGCTTGAATTGCTTCCTGAGGCAAAGATGATGAATCTGTTCGCGATTGTGGTCTTTCGGGTACATTACCGTACAGTAGGGGGGCCCTTTGTTCTAAAGCCTGCATGCGCTGCAGCATGTCAGCGTTCAGTAGCGGGCCCTCCCTTCCGGGGTGCGATGGTGCAAAGGACGTTGGCGTTCCTTGTGGCCCCAATTGGGGTGGTGACCCACTATTAGAACCCAAACTCCCATCTCCCAAAGCTAACTGCCCTGGTGCACCTCCCGGACTACCCAATGAGCGGGTAGCACTTCGTGGTGGCGTTGCGTGTGAGTCCTGCCACACCGGGACTTGCATGACCTCAGTGCGGGCAACTCTGAAAAAATCCCCAACCCTTGACATGAGCTGGAGCCCAGCCCCAGGGAAACCCTCAACCATTTCTGCAATAGTGGGCAAACCCTGTCCTTGCTGGGAACGTGGGGTAAGGAACCCCTCAACATGGGAGTCCCCAGCGACTGCTCCACCTGGCGCTGCTTCACCACTCGCGGTACCTGGCATGCCAGTGCTGGTCTGCAGACCTGGGCTCCCGCCCGGTGTGTTGCCGGGCACATGCACAATTTGGTGTGCGCTCTCACCACCCTCACTGGTGGTCGACATTGGTGGCACTTCCCCTGAACCTCGCGATGATTCATGCTGGCCTGTACCTCCCAATGCCCCTCCCGTAGCCGTATTAGGTTCAAGGCCCACTGCACCTGACTGGCCTGATTCACGTGGTGGCATTGAACCTGAGTGCTGCAAACCATCCCCTCCGGGAGGTGGAGATGGATGCGGCGGATTGGTGCCGTAGCCCTGCCCAAGCGTTGGGCTCATAACCTGCTGGTGTGAACCAGCAGGCTGAGCAGAAGGAACTAGTGGAGTGATCAATTCCCTAGCCCCATTCCCAACCATGGCTCACACAATAGGCGGAGATCTTTTACGCGCAGAAGCAACAGATCAACAAAGGAACAAAAAAGGTCTCTGCAGTGTAGGGCTACGGCTCCTACAGTATGATATGTACATGTTTAAATATGTGGCATGCTCAAGGCTTGAGTTTGGGCCTAGAAGCCACAAGGAAAAATGCGCACTGCAATTGACTAGAGAATGACATGTACAGGAGTAGACTTCAACACTTAGGGTTTAGGGTTTAGGGTTTCGGGTTTAGGGTTTCGGGTTTAGGGTTTAGGGTTTAGGGTTTAGGGCTTAGGGTTTAGGGTTTAGGCTTGGGGGGCTCGAGGTTGAGCAGCTCAGGAAATCGTGGGGTGTTCCCTGATGAAACAGGTTCTCTTGCTTAAGGGAGCGCTTGAGGCTCAAGGCCTTTTCTTGGAGCCCCAAGTGCTTAAGGGGTTTGGGGTTTAGGGTTTTGGGTTTAGGGTTTAGGGCTGTAGGGCTTTAGGGCTTTAGGGCTATAGGGTTTAGGGTTAGGGTTTTGGGGTTTGGGGTTTGGGGTTTGGGGTTTAGGGTTTCGGGTTGGCAGCTTCGCGCTTTTTTGTCTCCGACGACACGAACTCGATCTCCGGGCTGTCGACGTCGATGGTCTCCGTTGGGCCTCTGGAGACGGAGGATTCGAATGAAATCTCAGCTCGTAGCCCTACGGGCTTGTTCATGTTTGGGGTGTGTTCCCTTAACCTCCTCCCCTATATGGCTACCCTACAACCCTAAACCCTAAACCCTAAACCACTGCCCAAAGGCTGCAGGCCTCGAAACCACAAGTTGTTGTTCAACGTTTTCGGGATTTGGAGCTTCAGTTTGGTGCTTTGGGGTTGGGCTTGTCCAACTGGCAACCACAAACCCAAATTCTAAGCCCTAAGTAAACCCCTAAAACCCCAAAACCCCCAAAACCCCTATGACCCCTACAACCCTAAACTGCTCAACCCCAAACCCTCAACCCCGAAAGGCCTGGGTCGGCGGCCGCGGCACCCTGCAACGGCCCAGGCCTCCAGTCAAAATAGCTGGGGGCTTAGGGTTTCGGAATTCGAGTTGCGGGTTTAGGGTTCAGGGTTTTGGGATTAGGGTGTAGGATTGAGGGTTTAGGGCTTGGGATTGAAGGTTTAGGGGTATGGGATTGGGGCTTAAGGTCTTGTTCGGGGCTCGGCGTCTTCAGGATTCTAGCTTCGGGCCTTGAAGAATTTCACGAGGGAGGAGGCTCAAGAGGTTGAGTTTAGTCCAGTAGCTGAAGCGTTTGAAGGTTTAGGGTCTAGAGTTTGGGGGTTAGCGTTTAGGGACCCGTGAACGCTCAAGCAAAACAACTCTCCCATCATGTGGCATTAGGACTTAGCTAGGATTTAAGGCTGTAAGGTCGGGGAGTCTTACAGACGGGGTGGCAAAATGGCCACCTGCCTAAACCCTAAGGCAACTTGACCCCAGCCTGTGCCCTTCGCCAGGGGTAGGCGCTGGCGGGTCTGCTTTCGCCTTAGAAATGCGGGGGCTGGGGAGATTGGGAGTTTGGAATCAAGGTTTAGGGCAAGTTTAGGGTTTGGGGACGTGGCGCCAGTGTGCTTATCACATCTCAAGTATCTCTTGGGACGCTTAGCCTGGCCCCTCGCCGCCTCAAGCTCTCACCCCTACAGCGGCCCTAAACAAAGGCGGCCCTGGCTGTTTGCATCTCTCAGAAAAAAAGCCGTAGCCCAGCTCCACTTCCGTTCAGTTCGAGACTGTTTGGGCTCAAGGAGCTTCAGCCTTCTTGGGGCTTAGGAGTTTAGGGTCTTGGGGGCTTGGGAGGGCGGCTTCACCTTCCCCCTCCGCCCATGGAAACAGATGCCGTAAAGTGTGCGGCCCATGCGCCTTCGGCCTGAAGAAGCGAGACAAGGTGACAGCTGGCCCTGGCTTGGGGGCGTCTCTCGGGGAGTTTCTCTCAGCTTTCAGGGTGGCTGAGGGTGTGGAGTTTGAGGCTGAGGGGGGTTTCGGCTTTCAGGGTTTAGGGTTGGGAGTTTAGGGTTCAGGGTTTAGGGTTAGGGGAGTTTGGAGGTTTGGGGCTTGGCGCTTGGGGGACGGGGCAGGTGTTGAGGTATAGCTGGGTCCTCAGCTAACCACAACCCCGAAACCCTCAACCCTGAACTCTCAACTGTAAACCCTAACCAATATTCTCGTGGTCCTACGCTTTCGTGTAGTGTTTAGAGCGTGAGCGAACTTCAGTGCGAAAGACGAAAGAAGTCCGGGCATGCAGGAGGTCCTGTGCCCAAAAGCCTTCTCAAGCCGTGTATGATTTAGGATTTACGGTTCAGGTTTAGGGTTCAGGGCTTAGGGAAGCGAAGATTGAAACAAAGAGATCACAGCTGATGTATAAGACAAAAAAACTCCGTTGGGAAAACAAGTGGACCAATTCCCTGAGCTCTCAAAGGCCTCCAGGCTCCCAACTCCATAAAGAATTGGCCCCTTGCCCTGGACCTTGACCCCTCAAAAACCCTCAAAAACCCCCCCGAAAGCCTGCCCTAAACCCCCTAAACCCTAAACCCCAAACCCCAAGCCCCGACCTGCTGCGCTCCCGGAGGTGGGTTGCGGCACCTCCCGTGGGCTGCTGCTTTTGCCGGGCGCCCGGTCCGGCAGCATGTCTCCTTGGCGAGACTGCTTCGGGGTTTAGGCTTTCGGGCTTCCGGTTTACGAGCGCGCGTGGTTTCTTGGCCCACTCACCTTGTAGATAGCCCGACCCCAGGGCACAGAAGGTAGCCCAACATGTCAAGAAGACAGCCCAGAACCGAAATCCCGAGGGCACACGAGTCCCAACACATGCGATAATGATAATGATAGGAAAACTCTCTACCTCTTGGGGATAGCATCTTGAAAGTAGGATGTAACCATGAAAAACGCACGTTTTGCGGAGTCTTCCCGCAGGACACAGCGATAAGACAGTACCGCTGCCATGAATCCACCCGTGAACTTCTTTTTGAAGCTCCCTCTCGGTGATAGCCACGTGAGGCTAGCTTGAGACGCTGACAAAATGCCTGTTTCGCGGAGCCTTCCCGCAAGGCACAGCGATAAAACAGAACTGCCATTTGAAACGTAACCTCAAGAAATGGGCTTTGGATCGGGGGGTCTGTAATTATTGTTGTCGGAACGATGCCCGAAGGATACCGCGATACCTTGGACCTGTCTTGGCAAGGCCAAGAGGCCAACATGTACTCGAACCTATGAGTGCGACAGTGGGTCTGAATAGGGGTATGTCGCGGTGTCCATACCTTCGACGTTCCCTGTGTTTTGGCGAGGGCTACTTCAGGGGGTTTCGCAAAGGGTTGAGGCTCCGAAGCCCCAAAGCCCCACAGTGATCATGGTTATCATCATGATGATGGTGGTGGTGGTGGTGATGATGATGGTGATGATGATGATTCGGGATGCTTCCCCTTTTGCTACCAGACCTCAATGGGGAGTGTAGCAACCCCCTAGTTCTTATCCTACTCAGGAGTTTTGGTATAAGGGGGAACATCCCAACCCTAAACCCTAAACCCTAAACCCTAAACCCTAAACCCTAAACCCTAAACCCTAAACCCTAAACCCTAAACCCTAAACCCTAAACCCTAAACCCCTTTAAGGTTCGGGTAGCACTCGCCAGAAACAAAAGGCGGCCCCCAAGGCGCGGCTCCAGCGCACGGCCTCCCGCCGCAGGGCCGGCGCCCAGGGCGGAGGGAAAGGCCGAGGGAGGCTCTCGCCCTCGGCCTTCTTTTTCAGAGAGAGAGAGAGAGAGAAAGAAAAAAAAAAAAAAAAAAAAAAAACACAAGAAAGAGAGAGAGAGAGGGAGACAAAGAGAGACAGAGACGGAGACGGAGACGGAGACGGAAGCAGAGACCGAGAGAGAGAGGGAGAGAGAGAGAGAGGAGGAGAGAGGTTGAAAAAGGGAGGCGGGCGGTTAGAATGTTGAGCTTTCGGAGGCTTGGTGGGTCAGGATGTTGAGAGGAAGAGCTTGCAAAAAGCAAGGGCGTGGGCTTTCGGGTCATGCAAAGCAGGGGCTTGAGAAAGAGAACGAAGCAGGGACTCGCAAGCCTTACACCCGAAAGCCCTAAACCCTTAGAGTGAGAGATGGAAAGAGACTTGAGATTTAGTTTGGTTGTCGGTTGATGGTTTATCAATAACCAGGTGTAGTGGGTTTCGTAAGCTCAGTAGGTTTTGTCGGTTTAAGGGACACGCGATGCGAGCGCTATTGTGGCCTTCCGGAAGAACTTCACCGTCACCTCCTCCCCAGTGAGCTGCGCAACCACCTTCTCACGCACGGCCGCAGGCAAGCGCCTCAGCTGTGTCTGTGTGTATAGGGTTCAGGATTGAGGGCACAGAATTCAAGATGCAGGGTAGGGCATTGCGGCTCGGGGGGCCGAGGGGATCAGGGTACTCATAGACCTTTTGTTCCCTTCAGCTGGCGCACCCATGATCGGAACAAAAAACGAGCCGCCGAGAGTTGAGGGTTTCAGACCCAACACCCAGGACCTGCTCGCGCCAGTGACCCCATGGGCAGACCTAAGACTCCAAACACCCAAAAGGCAAAAGGCAAAAAACGTCCAGCAAATTACCGTTAAAGACCCTTAAGAACCCTAAGAACCCCAATTTCCCAGAACCGAAGAAAAAGTCCCAAGAGCCCGAAGAACCCCGAAGAAATTGAAAGAGCCCATCAAAAGCCCATAAAACTGCCCGCGATAATGCAGCCGGAGGCTCCAGCAGCCTATCTCCCCGGCACAGGGCACTGGGGTCTTCAGCCGGAACCTGGAGGTGTTGCAGGGTCTGGGGTTGGGTTCCAGGTTCGCTTTTTGGGTTTTAGGTTTAGGGTTTAGGGTTTGGGGTTTGGGGTTTAGGGTTTAGGGTTTAGGGTTTAGGGTTCAGGGTTTCAAGAGAGAGGGAGAAAGAGCTGGAGACACAGAGAGACAGAGGGGAGGCGGGGGACTGAGAGGTCGGGTTTGGATTGAGGTTTGAGGCTGTTGATAAAAAGGCTCAGGAGGGGTCTTAGGGCTTTTGAGCACTGTTCAGGGTTTAGGGTGTAGGATTTACCCCTAAACCCTAAACCCGAAACCCTAAAACCTAAACCGGCGTTTTGGGTTCAGGATGCGCGGGATCCCTCGGTTTTCCACAGGCCCCCGCCAAGGGGCGCAGCCCCGAGGATGTTGCAGATGGGGCCACCGGCATGGGGGCCTTAGCGCTCCCAGGGTTTAGGGTTTAGGGTTTAGGGTTTTGGGTTTAGGGTTTAGGGTTTAGGGCTTAGGGTTTAGGGTTTAGGGTTTAGGGTTTAGGGTTTAGGGTTTAGGGTTTCGGGCTCAGGGGTGAGGGAGTTAGGGCTAAAAGGGCGTTTAGGGCTTTGGGTTGTTGGGAAATTGGGTTTTGTGGGTTTGGGGGCTTAGGGTTTGCGAAGCCGAGCTATGCGCTCAGACTCGTGAAAAGATGAGCGCTATCCAGACCAGGCGCTAGCAGGGTCTCAAGGCGTGATGGGTGCTGGTCTCTTAGCTGGCGGTAGGACGAAATCCGCCGGTTGATGATGGTGAGCAAGACAAAAGATATGAAAAAGTGCGGAAGCATGGGAAGAACGGGGATTTTGCAGATGAAATGTGAGTGTGAAAGAGCCCTGTCGTAAGAAGCTAATGGTGACTGTGACCTGTGCCGCTAAAGAAATGAGGATGCCCCACAACTAATCACACAAAGCAGCTTCAACTGCTAGCCCGAACTGGGTCCCAAACCCCAAAACTGTCCGAAACCGACACCCTTCCTCAACCCGCTCCCTGAACCCCAAGGATGCGACAGGCGACTAAATCTGCAGCCGTCCACGTGGCGCACGTCGCCAGTAGGACCTGAGACCGACAAAGGCTTTGGAGGCATCTCGAAGGAGCCGCGTTTAGGGCTTAGGGAAGTTTAGGGTTTAGCGTTTAGGGTTTAGGCTTGGGTTTGGGGGTTTGGGGTTTAGGGTTTGGGCTTTGGGTTTGAGGTAGTCGTTCCTGGTTCAAGTCAGAGTTTGGGGGTTGGTGCCTTTTGGTTGCACAACCTGAACCGCATAAACAAGAGATGTGAAGCCCGATAAACCTACCCTTACAAAACCCATGAAAACCTAAGCCCCAAGCAGAAACGCCACGGCATGAGCCTGGCGTCTAGTTTGGTCCAGGGTCTAGGATTTAACTCAGCCCGAACCAATCCGTAAACCCTAAACCTTCGGAGCTCTTCTCCCAGTGAGGTCCGGGCCATCACAGTCCTGGTGGGATTTAGTGTTGGGGTTCCGGGTTTCAGGATTCTTCCGGGGGGTATGTAGTGCGTAGTGTTCAGGGGTTTGAGGGCTTTTGGGAGACCATGGCTGTGGCGGGAGGCTCTGAGGATTATGGATTTTGGGGGGTGTCAAAGTCCCGAAGCCATGAAAGACTATCGCATAGTCCTGAAGCCCCAAAATCCTGAAGCCCTCAAACCAAGCCCCAAAACCGCAACAGGCGTGATAAGAGAAAGGCTTCCAGACTCCTAAGCACTCAGCCAGGATTTAGGGTTTAGGTTGGGATGTTCCCCTTTATACTAACAGTCCTTAATAATAGGGATTTTAATAGGGGGTACTACATAATCCCGATTAGGGACTGCCAGTATAAGGGAGAACATCCCAAGGTTTGGGGCTCAACCCGAGGGACCGGGTAGAACTGCGTCCCGCAAGCTCTTTGAAGACTCTTCCACCCGTCAGACCCTGCAAACCCTTAGACCTCAACATCCCAAGGCATTCACCTCAGCCGATGCCATTAAGACCCCCAACTCGCGCACATGCATGGAAATCCCCTCTCTTGCCTTACGCCTTGAATTCAAGCCCTGCCTTCCCTACACTACACCCCTAAGCCCCGCACCCCAAACCCTAAGATCCCAAACCTGAACCCCCCGAGCTCTTGCACCCAGGCCTTCCCACACTCGAACTCAGCCCGTAGCTCAGCGAAACGCACCTGTATGTGGAGGCTCTGGGTTCACGGCTTAGGGTTTAGGTTTCGGGTCAGGGTCTAGCTTTGGCCTTGAGGCCCCTTGAATCACCCCCTGAAAGGAGGGAGGGCGTTAGGTCCCCAAGCCACAAAACCCCAGAACAAAAACCCTCAAACCCCAAAACTCCCCCACCCAAAAAAGGCAAAAAAAAAAAAGCTTGGTGTTAAACCCTAAACCCTAGACCCTAAACCCTAAACCCTGAACCCTAAACCCTAAACCCTAAACCCTAAACCCTAAACCCTGAAGCGTAAACCCTAAACCCTTCCCGGGCGCCGTCCGCTCCACCCAGGCGCCGCCCACGACGTAACCCTTCCTTAAGGGCTCGGAGGTTTAGGGTTTAGGGTTTCAAGGTTTAGGGTTTAAGGTTTCGGGTTTAGGGTTTAGGGTTTAGGGTTGAGGGTTGAGGGTTTCAAGGTTTAGGCTTTAGGGTTTAGGGTTTAGGGTTTAGGGTTTAGGGTTTAGGGTTTAGGGTTTAGGGTTTAGGGTTTAGGGTTTAGGGTTTAGGGTTTAGGGTTTAGGGTTTAGGGTTTAGGGTTTAGGGTTGGATTTCTTTTTTTCGGGGGAGGAGGAGGGGGGGGGGGGGTGGAGTGGGTCCAGGCTTTAGGGCATTAGGGTTTTGGGCTTTAGGGGGTTTTGGGGATGTCTTGAAGCTTGCAGGGTCTTGCGCGTCTAGTGTGTTTAGCCTTTCCTTGAATGTGGCGACTTTGCCCATGGGGTTTTGGGGTTTTGCTTCTTTCGGGTGTGGAAATGGCTACCGTTTCGAGATTGGGGTTTAGGGCTTAAGGTTTAGGATTTCGGGCTTCGGGTTTGGGGTTTGGGGTTTAGGGTCTGGGGTTTGGGTTTAGGGTTTAGGGCTTCAAAAAGCCTCGACCAAGCCGCGGGCAGGAGGCATCCGACGGCAAGGGCTTCTCCGCCAGCGTTCGCATGATCGAATCCTTGAGGCCAGGCAGCGTAAGGGGCTTAGGGTTTAGGGTTTAAGGTTTAGGGTTTAGGGTTTAGGGTTTAGGGTTTAGCGTTTAGGGCTTAGGGTTCAGGTTTAGGGTTTAGGGTGTAGGGCTTAACGAACTCAAACCCTCAAACCCCACCGGCCCGCCAGAACACTGAGCTCGCAGCCTTAAGCCCTCAACCCAACCACCCTTAAAACCTGTACTTAGCCTCAAACTCTCCAAGCTGAATAGCTAGCCCTAAACCCTAAACCCTAAACCCTAAACCCTAAACCCTAAACCCTAAACCCTAAACCCTAAACCCTGTCGACCCTGGACCCCGACACTACACCCCAGACCTAAAACACCTGAAGCCCCCCAAAACTAAACCCTGCACGCCCGGTAAACCCTCTAAACCCTGTATGCCCCATCTAAAACTCTCAGCCTCAAATCCCTAAACCCTAAACCCCAAACCCCTCAACCCTAAACCCTAAACCCTAAACCCTAAACCCTAAACCCTAAACCCTAAACCCTAGACCCTAAACCCTAAACCCTGCCTCCCTAAGGCCCACAAACCCCTGAAGTCCCTTGGCTGGGTGCCCCCGGCCAGGCGCCCGTCGCACTTCCCCTCAGTCTCAGAGGTGGTGACGTGGACAGGGTTTAGGGTTTGGGGTTTGGGGTTTAGGGTTTGGGGTTTCGGGTTTCGGGTTTAGGGTTTCGGGTTTAGGGTTTGGGGTTTCGGGTTTAGGGTTTTGGGCTTGAGGTTTAGGGCTTGGGGTTTGGGGTAAGATGTGTGGGATTCAAGGTTCAAATAATGTCGGGGGATTCATCTAGGATGCCTTTGACAATCTTGTCAGAACCTGACATGGACCCTCCCCCTCTTTCCAACAACAAATACCCACCTGTAATTCTTCATGTTGAGGATTCAGGTGTAGGGCTTTGCTTCTCGGGTTTCTGCGCAGGCTGTGTTGGCTGGGAACTTCCCAGAACCCTAAACCCCTCACCCCTAGACCCCTAAACCCCTCAACCCCTGAAACCCTCAACACCTGAGACCCCTAAAACCCTCAAACCTCCTAAGCCCCAAAACCCCCAAACCCTAAACCCCGAAACCCCAAAACCCTAAACCCCGAAACCCCAAAACCCTAAACCCCGAAACCCAAAACCCCGCAAAATCCCAAGAGTTCAAAGATGCAGCTGCGCCCCGGCCTTGCCCGTGTGCAAGGCAACCCAGCCCATGGGCAGGTGGACTGAGCGGTTCTCCACATCCTCCGGCTTCTTTCAAGGGTTTAGGGTTTAGGCTTTAGGGTTTAGGGTTTAGGCTTTAGGGTTTAGGGTTTAGGGTTTAGGGTTTAGGGTTTAGGGTTTAGGGTTAGGGGTTCTGGGTTTAGGGTTCTAGGATTCAGGGTTTAGGGTCTAGCGTTTGTGGTTCTAGGGTTTAGGGGGTTAGCCCTGACGCAAGTGCAAAAAACAAAGAGTATACATGAGACTAAAGCATCCGTTGAGGCAACCATGCTGCGTCATCGAGTTGGTCTTAAGGAGACTAGTACTGTATAAGGGCCTTCGCACCCCTCCTCCCCCCCCCCATCATCCTCCGAGGCATCATCATTGTAGCCATCGCTATCGCAGCAATTGCCATAGACACATTTTCTGCCTATGCATATTAGCCTATATGCCTATGTGTACATGTACAAGGGCTGGGCTCTCAGCAAGGTTTACACCCTTGAGGTCGCGTTGAGGGCCCAAGAGGT